CCCTCGGCAACTCCCTGCCAGGAGGGGGCAGAGAGGGGGGATGAGTCTCTGGAGCCAAGGCCCCAGCGCCAGGCCCCGAGGGAATGGCCTCAAGCTGCCCAGGGCAGGGTCAGGCTGGCTCTGAGGAAGGATTTCTGTGCAGAAGGGGCTGTTGGGCGTTGGAATGGGCTGCCCAGGGCAGGGGGGAGTCCCCGGGATCCCTGGGGGGGTTGAAGAGTCGGGCTGAGCCAGCGCTGAGGGATCTGGGGGAGTTGGGAAGGGTCAGGGGGAGGGTCATGGTCGGGCTGGAAGAGCTTCAGGGGCTTTTCCAACCCAGATGGATTCTGTGACCTACACAGCCTCTCTGTACCAGCATCCCAACAAGGATGCCCTCAGCAGGCTTCAACACACTTTAAGAAGAATAAGGAGTCATCTGTTAGACGCGTTACCAAAGCAGCTCCCTCTGCCCTCGTTCTGGGCTCCAGGGAAGCAGCACGTAGCTGAGCTCCCTCCCGCAAACGGGGCCAGGGTTGAGTGAGCTGTGGGGCAGGACTGCAGCTGGGAGGGCTTCACGTGGAGGGTGGGAAGCCGCCCTCCAGCTACCACCCTCCAGACACTGGTCCCTGCTGTCTTGCAAATGCTCCTGCCTCCCCAAACCAGCCAAAGCCTCTTGGAACAAGTTTCAGGAGCTGGAGAAAGCGGGTTTTATGAGCATCCGGCTAAGCCCCGGCCAAGAAGGGGAGGTCAGCGCAGCGCTCGCTCTACCTGTACTGACATCACAGCATCCTCCTTCCAAGTGCTGGAAGGGATGCCAAAAAACATCGAAACAAAATACAGCTCTTACGCAGACAACTTCACCAGAGCATTGGACCAGGAGATGCCTCGGCAGGAACACGCAACGCGGCTGCTCAGCGTTGGCAGCACCCGCCTCTCATCCTCCTGTCTGCAGGCTGCTCTGCTCCTGCCCCTTTGTTTTTTTAACTGTATAAATTGGAGTTATTTGCCAGATATCCAGCCTCATTGCTGCCAGCAACAGCTGTTTCCTCTCACCCAGTCCCAGCAAGAGACTACAAAAGAAAAGGCCAAACCCTCCCACCTCAGAAATTACAAGTTGGACCATTCCCATCCCCACTGCCCCCAAGGCAAAGCACTTCCCAGGACCAAGGGAAGCTATCGCCACACAGCACTGCCTGTGCTGTGCCTGGCTCCATGGCCAGCTATCCCCATATCCCAGCTGGAAAAATAGCCCATGCTAAAAACTGATTTCGGGTTTACTTTATGATAAAGCTGCATACACAGCTCCGATGCCTTCATTCCACGGGGCAGTCTAAACACAAACCAGATGTGAAAAATAGCCCAAAACAGCCCTGAAAG